CAGTCGTAATGTGGTGTTCAATGAAGGCATAATGTACAAGGACCGGAAGGAATACCCGGACGATGACAAGACCATGCAGGAGTATGTTGGTCTTGATATTTCAAATACCGGAATCATGAGACCAGCAGATTCAGTGGGAGCTCAGATAGATGAGATCGAGCGTATAGAAGAAGAGGCAGAACCAGAATCGGATGAACCGATTGCTGAGAGCAGCACGCCTCTGGCACTGGGCCGAGAACCGAGGATGAGAAGGGCCCCGGATAGGTACTCCCCTTCTCTTTATTACCTACTTTTATCTGATTCTGGGGAACCCGACTGTTATGCAGAGGCAGTTAAAGATGCCCACAAGTGCAAGTGGGAGCTTGCGATGGACGACGAGATGAACTCGTTGAAGAAGAACCGCACATGAGATTTGTGTGATCTCCCAAAAGGAAAGAAGTCTCTTCAAAACAGATGGGTCTATCGGGTCAAGGAGGAATCAGATGGGACGAAGCGATACAAGGCCAGACTTGTAGTAAAGGGATTCCAACAGAGATACGGTATTGACTTTACCGATGTTTTTACACCTGTTGTTAAGTTAACCACTATTTGTCTAGTGTTAAGCATGGTAGCGGCGGAAAATTTGGAGTTGCAACAGTTAGATGTGAAGACGACCTTTCTGCATGGGGATCTCGAGGAAGAAATTTACATGGTACAGCCAGAGGGGTATAGAGGAAATGATCAGCAGGTCTGCCGCCTAAAGAAGAGTTTGTACGGACTGAAACAGGCTCCTCGACAGTGGTACCGAAAGTTCGATAATTTCATGCTGGAGATTGGATACTCCAGGTGTAATGCTGATCATTGTTGCTATGTGAAAAGGTTCGATAACTCTTTTGTTATTTTACTACTATATGTGGATGACATGCTGATAGCAGGATCAGATGTCAAGGAGATCGAGAGGCTCAAGGATCAGCTATCAAGGAGATTTGATACGAAGGATCTAGGAGAAGCGAGACAAATACTGGGCATGAAAATCACGAGGGACAGGAATGCTGGTAAACTTTGGCTTTCTCAATCTGATTATATTGAGAAGGTGTTGTGCAGATTCAAAATGGATACTGCAAAGCCGGTTGGAGTACCATTGGGAAACCAGTTCAAGTTGTCCAACAAGGATTCGCCCCAGGATGACTCTGGAAAAGAAAAGATGAGAGTTACGCCGTATGCTTCGGCTATCGGGAGCCTAATGTACGCTATGGTCTGCACCCGGCCAGACATAGCACATGCAGTGGGAGTAGTCAGCCGGTTCATGAGCAATCCTGGAGTGATGCACTGGGAGGCGGTAAAGTGGATCCTTAGGTACCTGAGGGGTACTAAGGACTGGGCATTAGTATTTGGCAGGGGTACCCTTACCCTGTCTGGGTATGTTGATGCTGATTTTGCAGGAAGTGATCTTGACAAGAGGAGGAGTACTACTGGGTACGT